ATCTAGGGCAGTCGGCCAAGCCGACTCTGCTGTAGAGTAGTCGTCTTCGCTGCGTTCCAAGAGTTTCGTTGCTCCATTTTGCGCACCGCTTCTTTTGTTGGTTTTCGGTTGCGCTTGTGATCGTTTCTCAACTATCTAGTCACCCGTTAGCTTTGAGAGTTTCGAGTCGGGCTCTTGCTTCTTTGTGATAGAAGTGGATAGCACTATTTGGGGTTTTCGGTGTTGCGTTGGCTTCTTGTGTGTTGTGGTGTCCCGTTGTGTTCCTAGTGAACATCCAGCCACCACCCGAGGCCATTTACAGTGTTCGGTGCTTTTGGAAGGTGATTTTGGGACGGTGGCCATTTTGACAGAAATTTTGAATTGGCTCCTATTCACCCTCCTCTAGTCGCCTTTCTCGGTCCTTTAGGATCAAGGGTTGGTACGTTGCTGTAAGTTTGAGGACCTAGATGACACTCAGGAGACAAGTTAAGGGAGAGGGGCTAAATTGCATTCGGAGAGTTTGAAACCCGAATGATACCATCTCGAAACAAGTTTATAGTCCTCTCGTGTATTTTACTCTTTTGTTAACATACATCATTTATAATTTTTAAAGGCACAATCCACTCAATGGGCCTAAATAGGAGAAGTACCAAGGTTGTCAATATCACGCTCTATTTCCTGCAATCTTATGATCATGCCAAATTGAAATGATACCCATACTAACTGGTATCTTAAATTTTATATCCTATATCTAAAGGCTCCATAGAATCCTACATAAAATTTTATAGTATCCTAATACTATGATCCTACGATACTACACATGATAGTGGTCGCATGCCCTAGTCACTGATTCAATCAAAACTTACAAAAACCGATGCTCTCATCACTGAATAGACCATCGCCTCTATGAGCTACATATCTTATCCATCTTTAGAGTGCTGGCTTTAGTCTTTTTATATTATATACATATACATATACACACACACGATACGTTACACCACAAGCATTTCCATATATGCTATGCTATACTTTAATCAATATCTTCTTAATAAGTATTAAAATAAAATAAAAAACAAAAGAAGTGCTGCTGCACCCCGTGCTGCCGGATGGGGTAAGCTGCCTCCCCACGCCGCACGAAGGAAACCACCGCCCCCCGCTCCAAATATTCTCCCATATCATGCAGCCTTTTGACCACTCCATCGGTCGGACCCGGCGACCATACTAGGCACCACGCCGACGCATCGCCAGCCAGCAGCCACCACTCCCCTGCACCTGCACTGGCCAAAGCACGCAGCTCGTGCGATCGCTGCGACGGGACGAGCTTGCTCGACGCCACGGCCATTCCCCGCTCGTGAGTCCAAAGGGCGACTGCACGAGCGACGGGTGTGAGCGCACGTATGCGGGACCAAAAGGAGCCAGCCAGCACTTCTTTTGATCCGCCTTTTCCAGCACCGCACAGCACGGCCTCTGAATCCTCTGATTGATTTTATCTGAAAGCATCGTCTTCTGCAGAGCTGAAGATGCGCGCATTGTGCCGCTGCAGTTCTAGCACTGTCAGTCTCTGATTTCTCCTCTGCTTCTGACTTGCTGCCCTCGCAGACAGGCCTGCAGATACCGTTTGTATAAAGGTCTGCGCAGCATTTGCAAGCATCCTGTGCTCTTCTCAGCTGTCCTCTGAAGTGAAATACAGTACCTGGACTCCTGGAGAATGTGAAACTGAAACAGCATGCGCTGCCCTCGATCATTCTCTAGCTACGTTTACATACAGAGATCACATCAGGGGTAGACAATAGTACAATACACATGTTTCTGCAATCTGAGACAGAGGCTTTCGTCGGTCCGTCTTTTTTGGGCTCGGACGGACGCTCGGTCATGGGATTCCAAAGCTGCCTGTGACCATGGCCTTTTCTTCTGCTGTGGCCTGGTGACCAAAGTGCAATGTTGAATCAGCAAAGCTGTGTTCTCAAAGCCGGGGCTCCATGCAGCAGCAACATTGGATTCAGTCCTCGACGCCATCTGCACCGTTCGATCCGATCCGGAGTCCGCATCCCTGCATCTTGACCGGCCAATATTTTATTTTAATGAAATGATGAAATTCATTTCGAGCCCTCAAAGTCGCTTTCTTTTCTCTCCCTCTTTTCTTGGGAGAAAGATGATGTTTTTTCACCCCTCCTGGAAAGCGAAGGACTCTCAAGATCTACCCTCTGACAAAAGAGCAGCTGCAAAAAACTGCAGCCATCGCCGGTGTCTGTAGCAAAGCAAAGAAGTTGTCTGATACCAGAATTTTCTCCATCCTCCATCCAGCCAGCCATTCAGCAAAAGGAAACAAGACAAACAAATACGCCGAGTGAGCGCATCACATTCACAGATAAGTAGATCACAGGCACAGCAGCAGAATGCAAAAAACAAAAAACAAAAAAAAAGATTGGATGTCCTGTGTGGTGGGGCTCCAAGGTCATGGCCTCATTTGTACATTATTAGGGCAAAGTATGGCATGGCATGGCCTGCCACAGATCATCAGGTATTGGTGCCGTGCAGCACCCCATGCCATGGCCATATGCAGCAACCCCTGTCTGTGTGCCTGCTCTTGGAGTTGGAGGTCCATGGTCCATGTCCATGACATGTTGCCGTTTCACCTCAGCCAGAGCCAGCTTGCACATTGGTTGCTAGCTGTACTGGGTCTGGGTGGGTAACTCCCTTCCAGAAACACTGAAAAGAAGGATCAAAGGATATGACAAACTGCCCCTGTTAATGGGTACTAGCACAATGATTCCCATTAGCCACTACTGTTGACCACGATTCTAAATGCTGTTGAACAACAATGATGGGGGTTGGTTTAACTTTATATATATATATATATATATATATATATATATATATTCTTCCTAGGGGGCAGGGAGTTTGCAACTTTGCATAGACTGGTGCCCTGCATGTTCTCAGGTTGTGGATATTGGCCCCATTTCGCGTGCCCTTAAATCCGGCTTCATCTCGCTTATTTTTTTATCCGGAACAATGTTTTTCTCTCACAAATTTCTCCAGCATTCCTCCAAACCATCAAGATTCCTCCAAAATTCAGACAAGCGAACAGGCCCATTCTATTCTATATATAGATCAGTTCAAAATGCTAATTCCCTCATCTTAAACCAAAGCATATAGGAGATCCTTATTAGCATGCATCTAGCTTAGCTAGCAGGAGATTTAGGTGGTGTTTGGATATAGGGACTAAAGTTTAAGAGGTGTCTCATCGGATATCACGTGGAATCCATCAGTAATCCGCGAGACGAATTTATTAAGCCTAATTAATCCATCATTAGCAAGTGTTTCTGTAGCACCACATTGTCAAATCATGGACTAATTAGGCTTTAAAAAATTCGTCTCGCAAATTAATCTCAATTTGTATATTTAGTTTCATAATTAGTCTATATTTAATACTCTACATGCATGTGTCTAAACATCCGATGGAACAGCGACTAAAGTTTAGGGTGAAACCAAACAGCCCCTCACAACAACTTTCTATATATATTAATTGTCCAGATCAAACTTATAACAGGTAGAAAAGCAGAGTACTGAAGCATGATTGAGCGAGCAATTCTTGTGATCTTGTTGGGGGCAATAAATAATATGCAAAGTTGAGTCATTCCTCGCAGTGCATGTCTACTTCCTACTGTGCTTTTTATGCATATAGCGAGCACCTAACCTACTCAGTTATAAACTTTCAACAATCATTGTTCTATTCACTTGACTTATAAGCTGTACTTTTTCAATCAACGATTAATATTTTTTATACTTTTAGTCATAACTTATCAGCTAAATAAAAATAACACATGTAATGATGTACAGTCGTTTGTTTGGCATTGTGTGTTCATGGGCAAGGGAATTTTCAGTGTCAGACAACCCCTTAGCCCTCACTGTGGCTGAGGCCTTTTCTGTCACAGAGCGACAGTGGTAGTGACAAAAAAATATGTGCAAGTCTGACCAGCTGCAACCTCTGATCTGACTGAGAATAACGGTGCAGGAACACAGTGCTCAACCATACAGTACAATCCAGCAGCAGGTAAAGTGAAACACAGAAACTCTCTCTTCAGTTTTTACTCTCTTCTCAAGCCAATTGAAATGGCAAAATCTTTATTGATGCACAAACAAGAAAGAAGAGATACAAACAATTAGCAAGGGGCCCCAAAAGCCCCATGCTTGGACACTCTCTGGAGATGGACAAATATTTCCCTCCAGAGCAGCACCACACTAGGGCATATCCATGTGCCTCCCCATCACAGCAAAGCATGCCCCCTCAGCAGAAGCATCAACAAAATACAAACAAACCACTCGGAAAGAAACCATTTTTGCCCTCATGAATATGAACAGAACTTTGCAGGCAGGGCTGCATCTTGGCAGGAGCCCTGACCGCCCGGCCCTTTGACCACCACATTTAACCCTACCAATCATCACCCATCCATCGCAACTCATTGCCTCTTTCCCCCTCTCCTTCTCCGTCTGTTCGCTCTGATAGTAACGTTGGTTGATTTGATGTGAGAGAAAAATACTAATTGTTGGTTAAAAAAGTACGGCTTATAAGCCAAGTGAACCAGGTAGAAGAAGCCCCACAGATTAGCCCTGTTCGCTTGTCTTATAATCCGTACTTTCAGCTTGTTTTTTCAGCCGAAACAATGTTTTTCTCTCACGACAAATCAAGCCAGAACAGTGTTTCGACTTTTTCCGAGAAACACGGATGTGTCTGTTGTAGCTTTCTCTCTCGTCACCTTCACGTACTGCATACTGGCTGGCGGTGCAGAGGCCAGAGGCCTTCATGATGGCTGGGCCGATCGAGCGGGCCGATCGAGCAGGCAGAGCCCCCACCACCGAGGCGTAGAGATCCAACCCCAAAAGAAGAGAACAAATGGCAAAAGAAAGAAAGAATCACAAAGAAAAAACGACAACAAACTGCAAAGAAATCGATCAAACCCTGTTAATCTGCCCAAAAAAAACCATGTAAATAATGCTATCTACTTGCGTCCTTCAGTGTTTCACGTGGCCGTCGTCGGCGGCCTCTTCCTCCTCTTGGCCGGGGGAGGCGAGGAGGTGGAGGTGGAGGTGGAGGTGGAGGTGGAGGAGTGCGAGGACAGCACCTCATCCGAGCAGCACAGGTTCACTGCTGCCATGGTCGTGCTGGCTACCCTTGTCTGGACGTTGCCTGTCACCAGCTGCCGCATCAGTCTGTAACAGCGGCTGATCCCTTCCTGTAGGCAGAAACAAAAATTTACGTACGTATATACTTCCAAATTATAAAGTTACAAAATGACATGTCGTTGTATGGAGTACCTCTGCAAGGCCGATGCACCAGCTGACGGCAGCCCCAGGGCTGACGGACTCCAGCGACGGCGTCTCACCGGTGGCACAGAGCACGGCCGCTGCCGCCATTGATGACGGGCAGTGGTCCAAGAACTCGATGTCTGTGGCAGCAGTTCACAGTTTCGCAGTTAGTACATTGGAGGTTGGAACTGCATCATGCACTGCAGCGGCCCCAAGCAGTGCATTATATTACCATGCATTGCAGCCAGAATCACTTGCGTGGCCCGGGCAATAAGGCACCTGGTGTGCCTCCCTCCCGGATCGACCTTGCACGCGAAGAAGTCGATGAAGGTGAAGGGAGTAACCGATCGGAGCCGCCAGTTGAGCGCCGTCAGGACGATGAGCTCCATCCGGCCGACCGTCCCGGGGTCGAAGTCGTATCTGCTGGTGCCCTCCACCTGCAATGCAATGCACAATGTTCATCAATCTTAATTAAGAGGTCATGAGTACTGGGATTAAACGTGTAACCATAGTGGTGGCATGCATGGCAAGTACTACTAGTGTCCTACTAATTGCCTTGCCTGTAGGTCCAGGAGGGAGGGCACGAGGGTCTCCTCCATCTTGGCAGCCAGGGAGAGGCAGGTCACGGCCAGCAGCTGCATCGCCCACCCGTCCTCCTGCTGCTGCGCGTGCATTCATGGACAAACGCACAAAAACACCGCAATGAATATGCTGGAGCAAGGATCCACGAAACCAAAGGACAGATCATGCATGTTCCATGTTCTTGCATTGCATCTCCTGTTCTTTTATTATGTGAAACATGATAAAATCTCAAACTTTAAATTCCGAAATTATTTGTCTGTTGGCATGGAAGCAAGGACGCCTAGTAAGCTAGGTCATACATGTAGGGCAATCAAGATTTTGATAGGGATGTTCACATGGCAAACCACAGAGAGCAGTGGTCATGCGTTTGTGAAGACGGGCCTTCTTTAAATCCAGGTGTAAAGTTTTGGGGTGTCACATCGAGGTGTCGCAATGGGTGTTCAGATACTAATAAAAAAATAAATTACAGAATCCGTCAGTAATCTGCGAGATGAATTTATTAAGCCTAATTAATCTATCACTAGCACATGTGTGTACTGTAGCACCCATTGTCAAATCATGGGCTAATTAGGCTTAAAAGATTTGTCTCGTAAATTAGTTGCAAAATATACAATTAGTTATTTTTTTAGTCTATATTTAATCTTTCATGCATGTGTCAAACATTCGATGAGATAAGGAGTAAATTCTAGGGGAAGGAACTAAACAAGGCCTTACATATTCAGAGTCCTCATAAGAGTTATTATGCTATAATAACATGAGGAGATGGAGGACATCAGGAGCTAGTAGCAAGTTAGACAAGAAACACTGTTACATTAGCACTCTAACCAACCATTACCGTTGAGAACAAACACATATGTACGGCTTTGAAAAAGATATGTTACTTCCAACAAAGGTTGGTGAGGTCTTGAGTTTCAGTCAAAGCAGTCTGGATAGGATAACCCTGGATAGGATAACCTTCTGACTCACTGTCGCATCGAATTTTTGCGGCCGCATTATCTTAAATATGTGAATCCCTAATTGAAGTTTCAGAGGGTGACCTTTTAAGCATGGCATGGCCCAAATTTCATGAACTAAACTTGCCCTGAAGCTTCAGAGGGTGACTTTTGGCATGGCCCATGCTTGCTTGCTTGCTTTTACAGTGGAGTCCTAGTATATATATTCTATGGTTGATTGTTGTTTCATCTAAACATACATATAAAAATCCAAGAGCATGTGTTCAGTTCAGGAAAACAGCAGCAGCAGACAGCACAAGGCAACAAAAGTCAGAAAAATAGTGCTGCAGTTTCAACCAGAGCAGGTGCTGCATATGACTTGGTGCCTATACAGTGAGAGATGCGTGAGTGAGACCACTTTGCAGTGTTTACAGCTAGCTTGCAGCAGCTTGTGTGTTCTTTTCCTCTCCTTTGGTTCAGATCAGAATGAATTCAGATAAACTACTCCTACCACCACACCCCACGAAACCCCACAGCTAGCGCACAGTCACAGTTGCAAGTCTCGCTCACAGGCAGGGCCATGGATGGAATGGAATAAAATGTGGATAGAATGGGACGAGGTGATGGATGGCGAGGCACATAAAAGCGTCAGGCTTGCGCTAAAGCACGGCTGGCTGCAAAGGCAAAAGACCCCTCTGTCTTGAGTGCATAAACAAAATCCCTTGCCCCCTGTAGCTGCCCCCCTAATTCATTCTGTTAGGGGTAGGAAGGTAATTAGACAGATGTTTATAATTGATTAATTAATCCACGCAGACACGCTCCTCCAAATCGTTTCTTTTTCCACACCAACATCAGCACTAGTGCACTTTGAGCATCGATCAACTTCCCACTGACAGCCACACTGTGTGAGTGTGTGTAGGTGACACCATATATTTCCACGGCCACCATCATGCTCATATGTATGAAAAATAAATAATTATGGTGCTCGTGTGTTGGTAGCTGATGATATTTATAAGGAAGGATGTAATTTAGTAAATAGCCAGCGTGTCGTCTGTGGTGAAAAGAGAAATGGCGGCTGCGGCGGTGGGGGCCACAACGCAAGGAGCTTACCGGCAAACGGTGGAGGGAGAGGAACCGGTCCATGTAGTTGACGGCGAGGTAGGCTGTCAATGGAACAAATCCATAGTACTCTTGCACCTGATGGCGATGAAGAAGAAGAGAGAAATATCAACACGTATATAAGATAGATGATATGAGATTGCTTGCTGAGTTAATATATATACATGCATCTTCTACAAACCAATAAGACTAGACTACTAGAGCATCACGAAGAGCATGGTGAGACATGGACAAAGCAAGCGAGAAAGCTATAGCACGCATGTGAGTGTGTATGGCCTCGCGACAGATCGCGTCACCTTGAGAATCCATGCAACCGACTCGGCCCTGACGGCCGGGTCGATGGACCTGGACCGGAGCCTGTCGGGGTAGTCCGGCCTCGGCGAGTACTGGGCCTCGCCGCCGATGAGCTCAGCTATCGAGGCCGCCGACTCCTCCTCGACCGTGGAGCAGCACCCGTCATCGTCGTCGTCGCCGCCGCCGCCGTCTCCGGCGGCGGCGCACAAGGTGCTGCCGGCGGCGTCGAAGACGAAGGCGGCTGCGGCGTCCTCGGCGCAGAGGAGGTAGGCGTCGTCCGGCATGCCGCCAGCCCGGCCCGGCGGTGGGTCCGATCAAGTCACTGGGCGGCCATTGCTGCCTGTCGTACCCGAGGGGAGCTAGTGGGCGGCGCGCGTGAGTGGTGGCGCAGAGACTTGCAGCGAAGTGGAACGAACAAGTGATGAGGATAGTAGGAGGCAGCGTAGCGTCAGATCAGCGTGAGCGATCGATGTGAGAGCACTTACTACTGGTAGTAGAGGATATGTGTGCTCCCCTAGCTTAGCTAGCTATCGTATGTGTGCTGTGTATATATGGAAGTGCTCACCATGCATGACAGCATGTATATATGGTGAGGTTTTGTGCAAATTTATCCTTGTGCGGTTTGTGCTAGCTGTATGGTAAAAAGAAAATCGATCGGCCGCATGATGGACGGATAATATAAGTAGGGAATGATTGGTAAAAGGAACCGTCTCATCCCCCCTCTTTTACATGTGCACCTGCCATCCATCCTCTCTCGAGAATTTGCCAACCAAAGGCCCCACATGCCAGTGACGCCGCGATCAATGACAGTTCCGAAAGGGAATAGCCATAAATAACAGGGGACCCAGTGGTGGTGAATTATATCTTCCTGTCGCCGTTAATCCTTTCTTTCCAGACAGACGTTGATTTTCGCGAGCGTGACCGCTGCCTAGCTCTTGCGACTTTGATCGATGGTCGTCGTCTCTGGTCACATACACGGAACAGCATTCGCAGACGAGCGAAATTGGGCTTCTCTGCTGACTCCCAAGAATGTGTTGGGGCCAGGGGTGTAAGTGACTAGCTAGGGTTGGCATGCCTGCCGCCTGCAGGCTGCAGCGCGGCGGCCATGAGCATGATTGGAGCACGGATGGTGAAGATCTACTCGAGCCAGGGGGGAGATCCGATCTGATCCATCGTCTGTTGGGCTTGTCGATACGGCCGGCCTACTGCTCATACCACAGGAGCAGACGAGCAGTACTAGTACCGATCCATATCCATCCGTCCGTCCGATCGGCCCGGGCTGAGGAACAGAGAAGGATAAGACACAGTCACAGCTCACAACGCAGAGAGGGGAATGATATGCTTTGCTGGCTCGCCGTGTCGTATACATGGCAGATTGGCAGCAGCATGGGAAACAAGGCCTCCGATCCATGTACGTACTAACGCCTGCGGCCTGCCTCTGCACAGCACACAGCACGGGTCCTCGATCAGTTCCTCACTCCGATCCTCACGGATTTCATATGAGCAGCTCAGCTGTAATTCAAGTGTATGACAGTATGTACAGAGCAACAGATACACTTGACTGATGTCAACTTATTATCCAACACGGGCTTATGTATGCGTATCAGCGTATGTATGCGGTACGCCCGTGCAATCGTATGACTGATGTGGACCAAGGAGTATTCACACCTTTTCCTCCAATTCCTTCCTAGAAAGATGTCTACTCGCTTATTATTCGCAAATGTTTGTCAGGAGCTCAGGGCCCGAAAAGAAATGCAGGATGAAATGAAAGTGCACCAGGCAACCCATTTACAGCTACTGTAGATCCACATCCATACGAACGGACGGAGTGGTCACCATATATACGGACACAGAGGTACCTTGTTGGGTTTCAGGTATGCTTGCGATTTTGCGAATTTATGACTCTGCAATGAACGAAACAGCCAGTATGTTACATAGGAGCCTGTACAAATAAATTCACGTGCCCTAGCCCTACCACCACGTACCAAGAACGATCCAACATCAATCTCGCGTAGCCGGGCATGAATTGCAGCCAACTCTGGCCGTCGATCTCCGAGAACCAACTATCCACGGCACAGATCCGAAGAATAGAAAAGGGAAAAGTGGAGGACCATACCTGCACGTATATCTTACCGTCACGTACACGGGCCCGGGCCTACCCGGGCCGCCATTAGACTATTTCCGACAACGTCACCTAAAATACAAGACTTATTTCATGTTTAGGTAGCGCTACAAGCAAACGGTTTAATACCTTTTTTTTTTTTGCCTTCTCCAGCAATAGGACCAAAAGAGAATCATTTCTACAAATGAATCTTTAGAAAAGATAATACTCGTATTTGAGTTGTGCCTCTGCTGTAATCCAAAATGAATCTCATATATAGGTATTATATTAAGGCTAATACAGTGCCATTCACGATTCAATTTAGGGCCTTGTTTAGATCACCTCCAAATTCCAAGTTTTTTCACCCTCTCTCCATCACATCAATTTTTAGCCGCTTGCATGGAGCATTAAATGTAGGTAAAAAAAATAACTAATTGCACAGTTTAGTTGGAAATCACGAGATAAATCTTTTGAGCTTAGTTGATCCATTATATATTTACTAAATAAGGCTAATACAGTGCCATTCACGATCTAAACATGTTTAGGTCTTCGTATGCGTCTTATAACTGCTCACGGGCCACGGCACGGCACGCCATCTCCAGGCACCAGAGCTGCCCAACACGATAGCCACCCGCCATAACTCACTCCATTGGATCGTGAAGCTCCGATCCGGCCAACGCACAGCCGATCCGTCGGGCAGAGGCAGGGAGGCAGCCATTTTCAGAGACGCCCCCGGTTCTTCCTCTACCTGGCATCCAGCCTATTCGTTTCGGCTGGATTGACTTATAAGCCATGACTAAAAGTACTGCTAACTGGTTTGATGTAAAGAAAAATACTATTTATTGGCTAATAAGTCAAAGCTTATAAGCATAGTACAGAATGGCATGGACCCGGCCGCCGGACGGCCAACCCATCCTTCCGCCTCCGTGGCACCGCACCAACATTGAAGCGGACGCCATGGTCTTCAAATCTCCGGCTCCATCTCCATCGAGTGAACTGTGAACACGACCCTTTTGCAGTTTGAACAGGCGTTGACCCGGTCAGCGGCTCGTCCGTCCGTCCTGGTCCTGCGAGGGGCAGCATCCAGAGTGAGTTAAGCGAAGGACCTGTGGAGGACATCATCGGGGATTCCCGTGCTTACGTCGCAACAAGGAGTGACTTTAATTTTGGGTTGGTGGCAGGCGCCATCTGCAAGCTTGCGATTCTTGTGACCTGCGTGCAAACGTGAGATGGCAAAGGATCAAGTGGTCACAGTGGTAATGGCAAAATGGCCTGCCTGCCACATTGGTAAATATAGTGTGTGCAACTAGTTGCTGGAAAAGTTTCAGTCATGCACTTTCAGAAAAAAAAAAAAGGAAAACCACGGCTTCATCAGAACAAGCGGGACCAAAATTTTCTGTTACACAAGAGCTTGGAATGACTATCTAGAGTTCTACACCTCTCAAGTCTACAGTCAAATGGTGAAAGATGAAAGGTACAGGCACACCCAACAAGAACTAGTGCTAGTATTCTCCAGTCCAGGCCTTCCAATCCTTGTCGATGTTCTTTTCAGCCCATGCTATTGCTGCCCGTGCCGCTTGAGGTGCACCAGGGAGCCCCCTCTCTTTGATCTCACCCTTCATGTCCAGGAATGGGTGAACCAGGAGCGTCCCAGGCCCACAGTAATCATTCTCCAAGAATGTCCCTAAGATCTGGCAGTGAGGGTAGCCATATGTTAGTGCTTTGCTATAGTTTTAACTCGTGTACAAGTGCAGTGTTATCATATCTAGTAAGATGAAGTTGTTCTGTTTCCTAGATAAAAAAATTGACGAACATTGTGAACACACAAACAGTTCAATGATTTAATCTAAATTAGGTTGTAATAACTGGTGAAAGTGCCTCACTCTTCTCACATGAATACCGTAGCTGCATACCATTAACTTACAAACAGTTGCCTGAATTTACATGCCTAACACCATATAATTTGCATGCTTTACTGTCTATGTAATCTGCAAAAGGTCTTCTACAGTTTGATGGAAGCTAAGCAAAGACTTTTTGGACTGCACTAAACCGCCAATATCTAGCACAGAAGTAAAAGGAACATATTATGCATACAATTCTGAACTGCGAACTGTCATGGACAAACAGTTTGCATCCTTCAGAGTTCAGAGACGATACACCGACTTTTCATGCCTCATTCCACAATTAACTCAGGAGATCTCCTCTAAGGTCCTCACTAATTTCCCCAACACATTCGTTCGTTTCGATGCTAATTCGTGCAAGCAAAATTTGTGATTCCAACTCCTGACTCAATTCAATTCATATAAAGCAAGAGCTCTCGCCATTTCTAAGAATCAAACCAACTATGCATTTGGAATTCAGGAATTGGGTACATGCCTCGGTGCAGATGTCAACGATCTCCTCGACATGGTCCCCGAAGTAGTCCTCTTTCTTCTGCTCCAGCCGCCACGCCATGTGCTCTCTGAACTTGCTCGTCTCCTGAAACGCCCCACAAAAGAATGTTAGCCATCAGGAAAATAGCAGCAGCAGCAGAAGTCTTGGTTCCGACTCAGTAGGAGGAAGTGGAAGGGCATGAGAGGCTGACCTGCTCGGCGAACTCCGGGATGGGGTCCGGGAACTTGTAGTCCTCGTACCCCGCGTTCTTGGCGCGGCGGCACACAAACTTCCCCGGGCGCGGCCGGCGGCTGCGCAGCCGGAGCCCCATCGACGCCGAGCGCTGCGCGTGGGAGACCGACTGCGCGGGCGAGCAGGAGCGGTGAGGCAGGAGTTGAGGGTTCAAGGCAGCGGCCGCGGCCACCCATGCCCTCGTCGCCATCGCCGGTGAGCGCCCGTGCTCCCCTCACTGGGTCCCCGGACACGGTTTGCACTCCTTATCTGTTCGGGGCGTTCCTTTGCCGAGATGTTGATTGGGCTGTGCCGTCAGATCCCAAATGGAAGGCTGGGATTGCGTCATTGGGCTACTGTAACCTGTCTGCTATAGCTGGACACTTGCATTTGGGCGCACACACATCAGCCGAGACTGCAAAAGGAGCTCGAACACAAATCCGCCCAGTTTTGTTCGGTGTGCAGTTCGACAAACCACGTCTGTTATAAATTTATAATGTGCGGCAGAACGCACTCCTAGGTGGTAAATAAAAGCAGGCAATGCTCATTCATCACGATATGAAATGCTTGTGACACTTTGTTTGCAACTAGGCCAAAATAGAAATGCTATTTGCCAATCAAGGTTAACCTAGTTTATTTTATTTTACATGGTACGATTAATCAACAAACGAGGCTAAAAACACGAAGTGATAGAATGCCAGTTTATGCTGATGGATCACTTCCCGGAAACAACTGTGCCCCCACATGATTGTGTTTTCCTTCATTTTGTGCTTGTCGCCAGCACAGCAAGCTCGTAGCTGCAAGCTGCAGTCACACAAACATCAGTCAGCATCTGTTAAACACAATAATCAGATCAATACTACTTCTGATGCAAAAGGCAGCATTGGTGAAATGAAGTAAGCATCCCATTTTTGCCCACTTCAGAAGAATAGTTCACATGCAGCTTTCTGATGAGGAGATGCGTTATGACAATTCATTTTTTTTATTAAAAAAAATCTCAAACGCCATTATATAAAATAGAGGGCGTATAAAGGATAACGCTGAAACCTACTGCTTACAGTCTAGAAGTAACTGCAGGTACTATGACCAATTTATCAATTAATTAGTCTAGAAGAATAAACATAGCAAAACCTCGTGCTGGGCATGCAGAATGCTAAAATGCAAAATAGTATCCTGATGTAATGTCCACACACTGCGCCGCTGTGGTAGGCAACTAATAGTAATATGGATACCCAATGAAAATATGCCTTATGATATATTATATCCCAAAATTCGTAAATGCAACTGGGTGATAACTGATAAGCATTGGTCATCCACCAGAAACAACATTGGCCACTACCAGGTGGTAACTAACCACGCATACCAGAGACAATAAATCAAATGGCAACCCACCAAAAACCTTAACATCAGAAACTAGCAAACAAATCTGTTGGTAGTGGAAATCTCAATATATAGGATAAAATATACTGGAGATTCAATTAATCAAGAGAATGGAATTCAGTATGTTGCGTATCGAATTGTAAAGTAAGAAATATACAACTATCTCCTACCAATATTAACTTCCAGCTAGATTTTTTTTACTTCAAAGATATAAAATTCACTAGGCACAACTTTAACTGCATCCTTGTATCACTGAAATAATAAGAACGCAGGTATACACCACTAGGAGAAGCAGTCAGCATGAATTCACATGGTGCATCAATAACTTTGTACAGGCCCCAAAGATTTAAAAAACTGAAACCAAAATCAACTACAAAGACATACCAAGTACAACAGCAAAAGTGAGAGCATTCCCAATCTTGGAGACCTGTTTCACACTGTTCTTGTATGATTTGAACCTCTTCAAAGCAACATCCTCCTCCAAAAGCTGCCAAATAGCAATGCAATGTTAAAATACTAAAATGAGAAATAACATGCTTCAAGATAGTAAAAAACTAAAAAAACACATATAACAAGGAAACTCAGACAAAAAATATGACAATGAAACAGCGGTATGGTGTATTATAATAAGCTAAATACTCATTCCAAGGTGTAACATGAAATATCTAGTAGCAGAAACAACAACATTGCACAACCTCGATCTAGACCTCTTGTATCTGAATGGTTGATTCCAACATAATTGCAAAAGCCAAATACATGAAGACATAGAACGCAATCAAAATCCACATAGAAATATGATATTCACAAAAGACCCAGGGTATAAGTACTGAAACCCTCCATCAAATGCCTCTCAAAAAAAAGAAACCCTCCATCAAATGTACTCCCTCCCATCCCAAATTATAAGACATTTTGGCTTTTCTAGGTACATTAATTTTACTATGTATCTAGACATAGTGTATATCTAAGAGCATAGCAAAAGTAATGTATCTAGAAAAGCTAAAGGTCTTATAATTTGGAATGGAGGGAGTATATACTGGTTTCACTGTCTTTTAAAAGAGATGCGAATTTCACCATGATAAAGAACACTGTAGTCAGTAAGATGTCAACTTCCCAGCATCAGAATTCTGAGATAGACAATATCAGCACTTATGAAGCTACAGCCTACAGTGACTGGAAACACCACGCAAGAGATGAAGTATAACACCTATGCCCCATATCCCATCTGAATTATTCACAAGGTATAAGCACACCAAGACACTACCCCCCTTTAATCCACATGATCTGATGCATCTGCTACCTAGTAGTATGGCTTGCCTCAGTCCAGCAAAGGCCACATTTGGACGATCCTCATATACTAATGGCAGGGATTGCAACCCTAGCAACCATAACCAAAGCAACGCAAAGCACCTCGAGGTCAGCCATCCTGGGCCAGAGGCCAGCCGCAACTTCTCTACACGATCTCCAGTCCCACGATAACCAGCACCCACCCCACGTTTACAGGAAAGCTCCGAATCACAGCACCTACGCCCACCCGTCCCACCCAGATCGAGCCGACGCAGCTCGCAACACGGCGAGTGCAGATCAGACCTAGAGGCGCGATCTAACTCCACAAACCCACGAGTCACGACGAGAATCCCTTCTCCCACCAGGCCACCACACGACCCCGCGATCGAAGTACCGAATCAAGGAGGAGATGGCGAGAGAGTGGGGGGAAGCGCTTACCGCTTTCTCGCGAGCGCCGAGCTCGACGTGGTAGCCGCGGCTGGGCTGGAGGCGATGGTGCGGCGGCGGCGGCGCGGAGCGGAGGCGGGAGCGGAGGGAGTAGAGGAAGGCGGGCTGGGCCATGGCGGAAGGAAAGAGGAGATGGGAAGGCAGGCAAAGGCGGCAGGCGCGGAGCAAGGTTGAGAAGTTGGTGCGAGGAGATCGACGCGACGCGACTAGTCCAGGCCAAGGCTATGTGTTTTCTCGGTTTGGTCCCTGAGCCCCCGGGTAATTTTGCGTTAATCCATGTTCGTTGCCCATGACGGTGTGTACTGGTGTCATCTGCCCGTATTGGGACAGCTGAGGTCCATGTATTGGAAAAAAGATTATTTGTGATGTGCCGAAGTATCTCCCATAATATTTAAAAAAACACTATCAGTAACCATCAATACCATTTTATTGGAAACGAATTATTGATAAGTTGCTAGAGATGCTATAACTGAGCTGTGCGAAACACCAAACTACCGAAGGGGATCCTTGGGCCTCTTCGCTTTGACTATATCCATCCATACCGGGTTTCCAAACCCTTTCCAACGAATGCACCAAGATGCATGCAGATTTAACTGGGTATTGTGGGAGCATCCATTTCCCATGCACAATAACCATCTGGAAGCATACATGATTCATACACCAAAGATTATCATTTTTTTCATGGCCAAACTCGCCTATGTAGTTTTAGAGGATACGTTATGTAAACCACAATGAAGACATGAAAAAAAAAGAGAGGCAAGACCTTAAATCGTAACCATCATGAACAACATAATTATAGGAGGATCCAATCCTTCAACACAGCTACTAGAGCGAAGCAACGAGATAAGCAACAGGAACATCAGCAGCCTCGATACAGTAACTATACAGCCGTACAGGCACAAGATTCATGATTTGCACCCTATTCGCTGATGCTGAAATTTAGCTTATGCTGATACTTATGCTGAAATGTTGTGAGAGGAAAATACTGTTCTATGACTGAAAAGTAGTTCTGAATAAGCTCAAGCGAATAGGGCCTTGATTGCAAATATTAACTGGGATTCATTCAGCAAGCAGAAATGCAGAATGACCCGTAACTCAGCATCGCTATCTTATTGCACACTTTCACAAACAAACTCCATACAAAACCAAGCCCCACGCCAATCTGTGCTTACAAACACAAAAATTTTACAACACTTTTTTCTCAATATAAACCATATATAACCGAAGCCGGACGTATAGCACTGTATCGAAAAGAATGAGAAATGCGGCCTTAAAACCTGGAAACTGTCTGCACGACGTCCTCCAGGCAGCAGCAACACTGATCCTGAAACGAGCGTGATGAGTGCCCTCTGTACCAGTCCACTTCAACGTAAATCTGCCACTTGTACCAGATGGTTCTGCAGTCATAGCTTGGCTAATACCGCAAATGGTAAGGCGCTGCAGGCTGTACTGCTGTTGCTGCCAATCTCTGGCATTGTGTAGTTACTATCAGCTGTTGTGTCTTCTGTGGGATGAAATAAAGAGACGATAAATGCCGCTGTCTGTTCAATGGTCAGCATGACACTCCTTTTTCACGTTGGAACCTCTATTTGGAGATGGTGTTTTGCAACAGCCAGCTAATCTCATCACTGTAGGAGAATTCATATATAACTTTTTGTATCAGCATGGGGAGGAATTATCAATAGTGCATAGACAATGAAAACTTATGTTTACCTCTCTCCCTCTCAAGTTCCTGGTCCAACTCTTCTTTCCACTTCCTCTGCCTTTCGGTGAAGCTGATGCTGTTAACAGAAATACTTCCAATTAGATCATCCACAGGCCTTGGCACAAAATAAACGAGACTACAAGTGCTTCAGTATTGGTCAGGATTTTGTGGAATAAACTTTCAGTTCCAAAACATAGTATGGCATAGCAAACAAACCTTGGGCTATCTTGGGCATCAAGATGGATTTTGTCCGCAAACTCATTAAGTTGAGGAGAAGCAATTTCTCTCAAAATTCGGCTGCTCTCCACCATACTGCTTCTTGGAAATTGCTTGCTGCAGCTTTCGGGAGCTGTGTTATTCAAAGTATCGCATGCACCACCGCGTGTCTTACTTGGAGGTGACTTTCCTCGAGGGGGCAATTTTGGACTAATTGGGAGTTTTCCCTTGGAAGTTTGATCAGCTCCCTGACAACTCCCTCCATGCACAGTGTTGTAGAACTCCTCATACAAAGGTGTTTGTAGCTTTTTCAGGTCAAGAGCCTGCAAGAAAAACAGCAAACAGCATTTAAGCACTAGCAGTGAACAACTGAATTTGTGCAATCTAATAAATACTAATTACCTTCTCCTCAAGAAATGCCTTTATTTTTGACTCCGTAAGTACATCATCATCTTCACAACTTCCCTCAACAGGGAACGTAAAATCATTCTCAGTTATGCTGCTTTCAGCATGTTTGGCCAATTCACCAAGTTCCATTGGTTGATGAGAATTTTGCTCTGGGCTTATATCAAACTTGTTTTCCCAGTTATCAAATGGTTCTGACATAGGATTATAGCTCTGGAATTGACAAAGTGGGAAGTCAACGAGGATGTAACATATTTGATTAACAGAAAAATTATGGAAAATTCCCAAAACAAGCCCATTTGTATTTTGAGATACTACCCCATAAGACATTTTGTTGCAAATGGCCCCCTGCCTAGTTCACTTGTTGCAAAAACCACACCACTATACATGTGCATAGCGAATTTTGCTTCTTTTTGCCAACGTGGAGCCACCATGATCCATGGTTGTGGAGTCAAGTTTTTCTGGTGCTTTGATTGTGCTTACTCATCATGCACGGTGAAGAAATTTTGCAAACAACAAAAAACCAATGTGATCATGCTTAAGTTTTGCATCTGTGATAGTGGAAGCTCTTAAAAATGTCATGTTTGTACTTTTATAAGAATCTAGCTTTAATAAAGACTACATTAGCGGTTGTACAGTGGGGTGGTTTTTACAACAAAAAAAAACATGCAGGAAGGCAGTGGAAAAAGCCACCCCATATGCACATCACAACAAATGTGGAAGCAATACTTTGAAAAGCCAATGGCTGAAGAAAATTTCTTACAGATCCAACTGCTGCATAGTCATCCTTGTCAGCAAACTCACACATGTCATCATCATCACAGCTACCCTCCCATAAGGGCTTGATTTTTGATGATTTATTGGAGTTCATAGTGGACCAGTTGGAAGAATGATTCAAACCCCTGGAAGCAGTTAAATAATTCTTAAAGCCATAGATGGAAAAAAAAAAAGAAATAGATGGTGAAGAATCAAGTGAGCACATGAATTACAGAATTCACTTACAAGCCATTTGGCATATCATCTGCAGGAATCTCATTAAAAGAGTCCTGTGTCATTGTTTAGATGAAGTTATTAAGTTACAAAAGTGAATGGAAGTCCAGAAAAAGAGCAGGAAGCAACATCAGACATGCTATATCAAACCTTGTGTGCAGCATGATTGAGTGGCTGCAGGTCATCCAATTCTCCAGTGACAAAAGGATGCTGCAAAAAAATGTTTCAAGAAGTCAAAATTACCAGGCACAATCAGCATAGACTTGCTACGATTCAGAATTGGTGAAAATATACCTTTAATAAGTCTGGTGCAGTAGACCTCAGCTCTGGTTCCCTAAAAGAACAGAGAATCAAGGCACCAGACAAAACATTAGAAAATTGGGTTTTCATTTGCAGGAAGTTTCCAAATACTTTTGGAAGACATATTAGTTAAGTGAAAGTTATAACAGTAATAGGCATACTTCTGCAGGCACTTCAGCAGAAAATCTTTGGCCTCTGGCGATAGATGTTCAGGTATAGGTGGATGCGACTTTGTGGTTCCAACATGAAATAGAAGAGCAACCTGAAAAGATTTTCTTAGTGCATGAAATAAGAGTTTTCTTGAATTTGCTTAGGGTTTATGTGATAAAACTTACCTCTTGATACTGCTGACTCCATGGTGGTTTGCCGGTGGCCATTTCAATGACTGTGCACCCTACACTCCATATATCTGCAGAGCTGAGAGAATGGAATAGTAAGGGTGGGTGTGCCAAACAAGATTAATAAAAAGAACATGGTTCTGAAGTAGTTTTCAATTTCAAATTACAGTACATTACTTTCTTCCTTGGTAAAGGTCATACATCTGTAACAATGAATCAAAACAGTAGAGGATTGATAAATCTTAAAGTAATAAATACTGTTGCTGTTTCCTGCCACTTTTCTGTATTTGGACAACAGAAGTCGCATAACTAGTCATTTAGCAAATTTGATTGGAAGTGATATTCAACTCGTACTGGGGACAATCTATGTAGTTCAGGGAGGACATTTAACATATATAATCCTTACCGGCAATGTTTTTATTCTGTCCTGGAAAACTACATATTACACATAACTTAAAGCAGTACTAATAGTAGCATATTTTCAAATCAGCTCCACGATTTTCTTTAAGAAAATGTATTATGTTTCCAAGATATAAGTGAGGCCTGAACATTCTTAATTCTAAACAAGATATTATTGCTGATATATCATTATAGCAAAACTAAAAAATATGCCTTATTTAAATCCAGAAAAGCGATAACCAAGGTAGTGGAAGAGTTTTAGACATACAAGCTATGCCCACTCCCAACAATGACTTCAGGTGCCATCCAATACGGTGTGCCTTTCATTGTTTTGGCTGCTGTCACAGTAGCCTAACAAAGCATGGCATATTGTTGTAAGTGCATTGACATAGGAAATTAGGAATATCTTGAAGAAAGAAAAAACATAGTAGCATCATATCTTCAAATAGAAAAGATGCAGCAGGAAATCATGTTAATACAGAAATGATACAAGAAGTGAGAATGAGTATTGGCAAATGCTGATTGTTGTGATAAGACAAGTAGAAATATGATGATCAGATGGGTATCGTTTGCTATTCTGAAAATAGACCACATCAGCAACAGACTAGACTGCCTATTTTCAGTAATTTAACAATGCCACTGCCCACTGATAATAACAACAAGAAGCACTTTTGTCCCAACCAAGTTCGGGCAGGCTAGAGATAAATCCTAGGAGAGCCTCAGCATTACGAATACAAGAATAGAAGTTATGAGCATCCACACTTTGTTTTGCAGGCCTTGCTACAGACCTACAGTCATATGGTTCCATGAGATTGTTACATCCTACAGTATTCTAGGATTTCCATGATTGCCTGGTCTTTCCCTTCCTCACGTGTCAGGAGCTCTTAGCACTGGGTATACCTTTTCCCCTCCTAGCACATGTTTCTATCTCTACTGTACTCAATTGCAACTAGTTTGGCAAAGGGGAAAAACAGGTGACTCCCTAATCTAGCCTTGCATGGGATTTGCTCTTCCATTATTGATGAGATGGAAGACTCTAAGTTTCTCTTCTGACTAACCCAGTCTTATTGCCCAAGTTTGCTAACTTCCCTCGATTACAGTTGACCTTAAGAGCACACTGACTCACTAAGCATATTATTTTGATCTTACCAACTTCTCCACTTGCTTAGAAGCCCCAAAATCAGCAAGTTTGATGCACCCTTTATTATCAACAAGAATGTTTGCACCCTGAAATTTGGCAAGTTTCCAGGTTCATTAGAATAAGCATTGCAACAGAACAAGCAAGGCTAAAGATCTGCCATTATATATATTAAGGCTTCAGTGTTCATACCTTTATATCTCTATGTATTATTGCATTGCTATGCAGATACTCCAATCCTTGCAAAATTTGCTTAGTGTATTTCTTAATGACCTGATCAACAGATATAATGGATAAGTTCCTCTTCCACTATGAACTCACCAGCATTGCAAGTTACACAGTTTGATGATTACTTACAGGCTCTGGGAATGAACCGAGCTTCCCCAAAAGTGACTGAATAGACCCTCCAGGGACAAATTCCAGCAAAATGTTTAGTGTATCTTCCTCTCGAACAGTCCCAAGATACCTCTTTTCGACCAAACAGAGTAAATCAAACAATAACTTAACAATTACCTAACGAAAGCAAAAAATTGCATCCACTCACAACGATGTTGGGGTGAGACAGGTTCTTGAGCAGCTTCACTTCTTCTTCGAGCTCTTTAATATGAGCCTAGCCACAAAAGGCACATCGTATCAGACAAACTCACAAAAGCCTCAAGACTCTAATTCCCTGACAAAGTAAAAAAAAAATGCTACTCACTTGCGCCTTCTCCCGTGTCGCGTTGCTCCTGCCGATCAAAACCTGCAATGAGTCACAGGAGCAAGTCACTGATCCGAATGCCACCAAAACTTTAAACTGTAAATTCATAATAATCCCGCGCGCCGAACCCCCTCACCTGTTTGACAGCGAGGAGCTCGCCCGAGTCCAGGTTCATCCCGAGGTAGACCTGCCCGAACGCACCGGCCCCGATGAGCTCCCCCTTCCGCCACCGGATCGGCGGGTTCTCCTCTCCACCTCCACCTCCGCCTTCGCCCCCACCCCCTCCTCCGCTGCCGCCGCCCGACTCGTCGGGCACCGGCGGCAGCATGCGGCGCGGTGGCGAGGGGCTTTTGGTGATGAGACCTAGCAGCCCCATCCCCCGCGACTTCCGGAGGGAAGAGCTGATCCGCACGCCGATCCCCCCGGCCCCCGCGCCGAATGGGCCCACGGGGGCTTCCGGGGCGGCGGCGGCGGCGGCGGCGGTGGGCCGGAAGGAGATGGAGCGGCGCACCGAGTCAAACAAGTCGTGGAACCCGGTTACACCGCCGGCGTCGTCCCGTCGCATGGCTTGGTTCTAGGGCTCCGCGCGCGTCCTCGTCGTCGGGGGGCGGCGTCAAGCTGGATCGAATCGAGGAAGGGATCGAATGGGGAATGGGGAATGGGGAATGGGGAATGGACAATGGAGACGCCCGCTCTCGAGTGCGGGGTTTTGAAATTTTGGGGGTTTGCGGGGCGGCAGAAGGACGGGAATGCCCCTAGCAACCGTTGCGAGGGAGCATTCCAGAGTGGAGTGGTTCGGCTTTAGCGCGGAAGTGCGTGTGGACGCGTTGATTAATCGGGGCTTTGTTTAGTTACTGGATTTGGGAGTGGCCAAATAATTAATGTGTTACTATAACGTTTTATTTGTATTTATAAATTATTATCTAAATATTGACTAATTAGACTCAAAAATTCGACTCGTAAAGTACAACCAAATTGTATAATTAGTTTTTGATTTCGTCTATATTTAATACTTCATGGATGTACCGTAAATTTAATGTGATAGAAATCTTTTTTTTTATAGTGTATTTTTCAGAAATTTCAGAAATTTAGTGAAACTAAACATGGCCCGGGAGTGAACACGTCAAAAATGGGTTCCAGCCTTGCAGGTAATCAATCCGTTGACACTTTAGGGGCCGTTCATTTCTTAGAGACTAGGTAGCGTGTCTGTGCGTTACTGCAGAATAACTAAATTTTTTATATTAAAAATATATGGATCATACGATAAGATAATAATACTGTTAAATTAAATACCGACGTCAAAGTGACATTTAATTCAAAAAGCAAAATTCATGAAATTAACACAGTCACGGAGAGCGCGACATCACAGGCTCACAAACTCTATGTATAGACTTTTTTGTGATACGGTTAAGATAATATTTTATATCGACAAAAAAATTCTACGATATCCATTTCTTTCGTGCGCCAATAAATCCATAAATAAGTTCCGCTGCATCTCTATATAATTATGTACACACAAGTTCGAGTATATATGCAAATAGGTTCGTGCCCATGTGTTGCTACGAGACAGCTAAACTTTTGTACTAAAAACGCACGAATCGCACGATAAGATAACAATACTGTAAAAGTATATGACCGACGTTAAAGTGACATTTAATCCAAAAAGTTAAGTTCGTGAAATTTACATAGTCACAGAGAGCGTGGCGTCGCAGGCTCACAAACTCTACTGTATAGATCTTTCCGTGATGCGGCTAAGATCATTTTTTTATACCGGCAAGAAGAGATTTCCGATATCCATTTCTTTCGTACGCCAACAAATCTATGAATAAGTTCTACCACATCTCCATACCATCCTGTACACGGCGCTGGCAAGCAAATTAGCCACAACTTATGTAATTAGTTTTATAATTAGCTCATGTTTAGTCCTAATTGATATCTAAAAATTCAATGTGACAGAGACTAAAGTTTAGTCCTAGGATCAAACACCCCCTAACTCTCGACTCTGCTGGCTGCTCACTTGCACCATCATGCCTATGTGCCTGCACGTATATACTATAATGCCAAAACGTCTAAAATGGTCTTTATTGTCCACCCTTTAAAAATATCATAACTTTAAGGTTGTCATTTGTGTATGTTGTAGGATTAGGATGTTTTGCACTGATCCATGAGGGTGTCCATGAGAGTCAAAATTTTTGATGCCATTATAATGTCTAAGCTTACCAATCAGACAGAGACGAACTTAATTGTTAAAATATTTTCAACACTGCTTTCATATACTCCCTCTGTCCTAAAATAGAATTCATTCTCGCTTTCCGAGAAGTCAACTTTTTTAACTTCGACCAATTATATATAAAAGAATATTAATATTTATAATACATAATTATTATCATTATATAGAGCATCGAATATATTTTCATAATAAACTTATTTAGAAATATAAATGTTGCAAATATTTTTTACAAACTCAGTCAAAGTTGAGAAAGTTTGACCTGCACGCATCTCATAACGACTTATATTTTAGGGCAGAGAAAGTATATGCTAATGGGAGTAGTCAACTAAAAGTCGTGATGAACACAACAATACTTTCATATTATATGCTAATGGGAGCACGAAGAAACGCAGGGGAATGGACCTATATACTAATGGTGGGAATATTCGTTTAGGAAATTGCAGAAGGTTCACCAGTCTCACCATGTATAACATGCACATCTTTTATTTGGCACCACTGATATTTTCAAGGAGCAGACATTTTTTAATTTTAGATCTACATGCTGGAAACACTAAAATTAAGGGCCAACCTCATTGAGTCGTCTTACTTGAGCTTTGCGAACAAATTATACTATTGACAATGATTAACACATAAAGAGGTAGAAGTTACAAGAATAAAGCTAGGTGGCCTATTATGCACCCAGCCTAAATTTAATATCCTTCAAATTATGGATAATACCATATGATCCGGTTTACGTGGAGATGAAAGATATCTGATCGAGCGAGAGAGGGGCACCGCATGATTATTTCCTTCCATACATGATAGTTTCCTTCCATGTATGTGGCCTCAGGTGATCGATTTGTTTCCTTCAAAGTAGGTGGGGATCGCAGGGATGACAGTTTCTTTTTCTATCGCGCGGTGCATGATTATTATTTCCTTCCATGCATGTGGCCTCAGATAATCGATTTGTTTCCTTCAAAGCAGGCGGGGATCACAGGCGTGGGCAGACGGATGAACCAAAATAAATGTCGCACCAAAAAATATCCACACTTTATTCTTTTTAGTTGTAGGAGATTCATGACCTGGATTTATTCCTACAGAGATTGCTTTGTTAATTTATATAGCATATTGTCTCTGTTCGTTTATCTTATAATCCATCTTTTTCAGCTTGTTTTTTCAGGAACAGTGTTTTTCTCACACAACAAATCAGCCAGAACAGTGTTTTGGCTTGTTTTTTCAACGAAGCGAATGGGGCCATTATCAAATGGAACAATTCCGGATGGATTTCGCCCTTACCGAACAAGCCCTTAATAAGTTGATATGAATCTACAAAGATTCACAAGGAACAGAACAAATTTTGTTAAAATTATTGATTCAACCTTGTGTCGAAACTTCCCACTTGAAGGCTTCTTAGGGTGTTTTTGGCAGGGCTCCTCTTAAGAGGTTTCTTCGCAGGAGGCAGAGCTGTTTTAGAGAAAAACGGCTTCGACTCCTCTGTTTTCACTAAAAACGGCTCCTGCTGCAAAACGTTTGGCATGGCTTCTCTGGAGGAGTCGAGCCGGAGCCGTGGAGGAGCTCTACCAAACAGGCCCTTAGTTCTTACACTCGTAGGTCTCGTCCTTGGAACAATTTATAGGTCTACATTATCTATGCGATTGATGATGTTGCTCATTTGGAAGATCGAAAGACAATAAATATTATTGGTCTTAGAGTCAATGCTTTAACTCCGCCTATGTTGTCTCAACATAGCAAACCCCAAGCTCTGGTAAAGGAGGAGGGTTGTGATAGACGTGGCGAGCCAACGTTAAATCTAGCCATTCTAGTGGAGATGAAACCCGAAAGAAAACCGTTGGGGCGTAACCCTCTTAGCGATGCGCCATATCAGAACCCCGGTATGGTGTTAAATGGGTAAGGGCCGGATCAGCACCCCCTTGGTGACGCGCCGTGTCGTGATCTGTGCATGGTGTCAAGTGAGCAAGGATCGGGTCGTCGCTTCTTTAGTGATGCGCTACATCGGCGCCCGGGTATAGTGAAAAATGAGCAAGGGTCTTCACATCTGAGTTGACGGGTGCGAAGGGTAAGGAAGCTAGTCGAACCAACTTGGATCCGTTTAGGTAGTTGGAATGTAGGGTCGCTTACAAGTAAGTTAAGAGAATTAGTTGATACCACGATGAGGAGGCATGTAAATATATTATGCATTCAAGAGAATAAATGGAAGTGTCAGAAGGCGAAGGAGGTGGACAATACAGGTTTCAAGCTTTGGTACATAGGGACAGTCGTGAATAGAAATGGAGTTGGAGTTTTGATTGATAAAAGCCTCAAGAATGGTGTGGTGGGAGTGAGAAGGCAAGGAGATAGGATTATTTTAGTAAAGCTTGTCGTTGGTGATATGGTCTTGAATGTAATTAGTGCGTATGTCCCCCAAGTAGGCCTCGACGAGAGTGCTAAGAGACAGTTCTAGAAAAACTTAGATGGCCTGATTAGAGCTGTACCTAGTAGTAAGAAGCTTTTTATACGATGAGGTCTTAATGGGCATGTAGGTACTATAAGCATAGGTTTCGAGGCAGTTCATTGAGGTTTTGGGTATGGTAGTAGGAATCAGGTGGGGGAGGAAGTTCTGGACTTCGTGGTAGCTTTTGACCTGATGATAGCCAACACTTTCTTTAAAAAGAGAGAATCTCATCTAGTGACCTTTAGTAGCGAACAACACTCTAGCCAGATTGACTTTGCCCTCACAAAAAAAGGACAAACGAGCATGCTTGGATTGTAAGGTGATACCAGGGGAGTGTGTTGATTCTCAACATAATCTTCTGGTGGTAGACTTTCATTTTCAGATGCGTGCCCGTAGGGATAAACAAGCTAAGATTGAAAGAACAAAGTGGTGGAAAATGAAAGGAGAGACGTCAGAGGTATTCAGGGAAAATGTTATTAAAGAGGGCTCTTGGAAGGAAGAAGAAGATATAAACAACATGTGAGAGAAGATGGCAACTAACATTCGGAAGGTGGCCTCAGAGGTGTGTGGAGTAACCAAAGGAAGTGGAAGCGAGGCTAAAGATACTTGGTGATGGAACGAGGAAGTTCAAAGGGCTATTAAGGAGAAGAAAGAATGCTATAGACGCTTATATCATGATAGGAGTGTGGACAACATAAAGAAATACAAGGTGACAAAGAAGACTGCAAAGCGAGCTGTAAGTGTGACAAAGGGTAGAGCGTACGAGGATCTTTACCAACATTTGAGTACGAAGGAATGAGAGAAGGACATTTATAGGATGGCTAGGGTTTATGAGAGAAAGACAAGGGACTTCAACCAAGTTAAGTGCATTAAGGATGAAAGGGCGCATCTCTTGGTGAAAGAG